CTGAAGGGAGAGTAATTAAAATTTGTAACTAGGCATTGAAATTTTTGACATTAGAACAAACTACCAAGAGAATTAATAGACCTTCAGGCTTGATGTCTCACCTAAAGACTGGATGTCTTTCTCAATATGCTTGAGACAAGTTCAAGTTATTGAGCTAAATTCAGACATTATTAGATGAAATGGATTACAGGACACCAGACTACATGATCTTGTCACAGCCCTGAACTCTATAAATGAAAAGTGTATGGAGTATAGAAGTTTTGGCCATTTACAATTTTCTTCCTTTAGTACCTCAAAATCTCCAAGGCTAAGTACAGACATTAAAAAAGGCTGAGCCTGAATCGATTCAATCTTTGCAGGTTAGTCTAATATGTGTAGGTTAAACCAAGAAGCAAGTGAATAGATATTCACTTCTGCTTTCAGAAATACAACCAGTTGCCTGCAGTAGCTCAAGCTAGAAGCAGGATGGTGGGGGTGCTGTAGAGGAAGCCCTCCCTTCCCTTTGGCAGTGGCTGGAAGGCTGGAGGGAAGCTGAGCTGATGGGGAGGGGGTCTGTGGCCTGACCTCGGCAGGCTATGACTGGGGAGGGGGTTAAACCCTGCCCTGGCCTACAAGGACCCCAGCGGGGGTGGGAATGTGCCTGGAAGGGGAAGAAGGAAGCAGCCCTTGCCAGCCTTGTCCTGGTGGGAGGGGGGTGGAGGGCAGCATGGCCAGTAGGGTCAGGGGTGGCGCATAGGGGGTGCATGCAGGTGCATGTGCACTCCCTGCATGTGGCGGTGCACCCCTTGCAAAAAATAGGTGGTTGCCACTCACCACCCCACTGTCGGTGGCATCTGTGGGTGGTCCATGATCACCCCTGGCCACCGCCACCACTGCTGGTGGCACCTGTGGGTGGTCACCGACCTGTGGTTGGTACTTACCACCCCCCGCATTGCCGATAGTTCCAGCAGCATCTGTGGGAACTCCCTGCTCACCACCACCAAGCTCCCACTGACACTGGCCTCAGCCATGCCCTGCCAGCCGCTGGGGGCATGTGCTGTTCATAAGCCCCCTGATCCGCCCCCCCATGGCTACACTGCCTGCCCCAGCTCCAGTCCTTTAAGGAAAAAAAAAAAAAAAAGAAAACCTGAGAAAAACCCTGCACTCACGGCTCCTGCAGCGGCCTTGGGGGCTTGTGCAGAGCTCCCCATGTGGGATGGGGCAGTGGGGATCACACCCTGCCAGGCAGAAGCAGTGATTCTGGGGGTTTTCTCATTTTTTTTCTTAAAAGGCCAGAGCTCGGGTGGGTGGAGCAGCCAAGGGGGAGTGGGAGGCTGGGAGAATGAATGGGCAGGGGATGGGCCTGGGTGATTCAGAGATTCAGCAGCAGCTGAATCTCTGAATCAGATTTGTGGAATCGATTCGGGACAGTGATTTGAATCACCGAATTGAATCACTGTCCCCCAAATCTTAAGCGAATACTAGCCGCTTTGCACAGGTCTAATGGCCAGACACTGGCCTGCACTGAAGGGTTGAGCAGCACGAGTGGGGGCATGGCTAGATTCCTGGCCCTGAGGCCTGAGGTGAATGGGGAAGGGAAAGGGGAATCTTAGAGAAGCGGGGCTGCCAGGGATCTTTAGAGGTCATCTAGTCTGAGCCACAGCCAGCTGGGAAGGGCTCTGCCCTTGCAGTCTGGCATGGACCCCTCCTCACCTGGCCTCAGTGGTGTCCATGGGCTGATCCAATTCAGCTCTTCAGCCTCAGCCCCAGCCCCAGGTGAGGTGGGAAGATGGAGGGCCAGGTCACGGGGGCAAGGCCCTTCCTAGCTGGCTGCAGCTTGGGCTGGGGCTGCGCGAGCTGTGTACCTGGGTTGCTCCTGGCTCTCCATGCCCAGGCTGGCCCAGGCTCTCATGGAGCCACTGCAGTAGGCAGGGCTTTCCCCCTCTACCCCATCATGGAGTAGGGGCTCTGTGCAGTGCTGCCTTGGGGCTCAGGGCTGGAGTGGCCCAGTGCTGGGCCCTGCTGTGGGGAAAGTGGGGAGGGGGGGAAACCAGCCACAGGAAGCACTTGGTGGCTTTCCCCTCCCAGCAGTACAGAGCCCCCGTTGAGCAAACCCTCTGATCTTTAGATTCTAGTGCTTGTACCAGAGGGTCTGGCCAGGGCTCAGGCAGGGGCTGGACTAGATACTAGAGGACCTTTGGAGACCCCTACCAGCCCCACTTCTCTGACTTCTCCTGCCATTCCCCACCTTCACCTCAGGTCTGAGGCTGGGGTCTGGCCATGTGTCCACTCTTGCAGCTTGAGCCAGGGGTGGGAGTGGGGGAAGGGATGAGAGAAGCCAGGCAGACCTTGGCTTGGCTCCCTGCAAACTAAGGTTGAGGTACTCCAGAGCAGGGTTTCCCACCTGCACCCCCTTCTCAGCCAGCTGGAGCAATAATAGTGCTCCATCTAGGGAGGAGAGGGGCAGGGCCAACTCTGCTGGAGCAGACAGCACAGCACAGCCCAGGGCTGCAAAGCATCCTAGGATGCTGGGGGACTGAGAGTTAACTTAAACTAGGAAAGAGTCTGGGACAGAAGTTCTGTAAACTGGTTTGACCTAAATCAGTTAAGTCTTATACTACATTCAACCAGGTTCATCTTAAACCCATTTCAGCCACTTCAAAAGCAGGTTAAGTGCATTGAATTTCTGTCCTGTTACAGGTTTAAGTTGCTTTCTGATAACTTAAACCAGTTTATGTGTCACTTCTGTCCCTAGCCCAAAAGGCTAAAACTAAACTAGAGAGCCTATAAAATACTGGAGTGGTAGCAATGCTTGTGGTACTGGAGAAACTTGGGAGCAAAAGCTTACCCTGGAGCTAAAGCCAGACTGTGGATGTCCAGCCATGAAACCTTAGGAGTGGAGATAAGTCAGTCTTAGGTAAAGTGTAAACGCTGTTCAGACTCAGCAGGCTGTAAAGCAGGTGAGATCCAAGGTTTGAATCTACAACAGATTTAAGCACACCCACCATTGTGAGACATTTTGTTGGACAAAGCACAAGGAAATATTATGTCACATGTTGATAAGAAAGAGATCACTTGGACCAACATACTTGTCCGAGAGCCTGTGGCTACTCACTAATACATTTGCAATCTTGATGCCAAAACCTTTCTCAATGAGGTTATTTCCCAAGATGTGAGCTTAAAGAAATGGGGTTAAGGAAGGCACTCCAACTCTTGGAAAAGATCAGTGATTGGAGAGAGCTATACATGCATGCTATGCTTCAAGATTCAGAAGCTTGTACGATGGAGCTTCTAAATATCGCCAGGGCAGGCAGGAAGGAAAGCATGAGAAAGGAAATCGGCTTTTCCCCCACAACCTATTGAGAAAGCATCTGGTCCACCGTCTGGAAAGCACAATGCAACATGTACTCCTCTAGCTCCATGGGGCAGGTGAGACTTATGTGTGGAGGGTTCTCATAAGAAGGGGCCATGCTCTGAGAGGCTTTCATAGTAGGTGGGTGGGTGAGGGAAGACGAAAAGAAAATGAAGAACCCTAGCAGGGGCATGAGTCTATACAGCTGTGGAAGGAGAGAACCTGAAGGAAGCATCAGCAGAAACTGAGGGAGAATGAACCAGCTAGGAGACATGTTTAAAAGCTTAAAGAGAATGAAGCACAAAAAATGCATGTTTGGACCTAAGCACGGCACTAGAATGGAAAACCACTCCTGGGGTATTGCTCAGCCAAGTGAGCTCATATCCATGAAGGTAAATGGGCCCAAGAGAAAGAATCATATTCCTTCCAAATCAGGGGAGTAGAATTCCCAGGGGTCTCCCTTTCCCTACTTGATGGGCAGAGGGTGAGGGAATACACCTGATGTATGAGTTTCTGGATGCTGCTCTTCTTTTCTTCAGGCACTGGGAACTTAAATAATCAGTTACCAAGTGATGCTTACCTATAGCCTCCTCTTCCTAGGGTTTCTTCTTCTTCCAGTACCTCCTCAGTTATCCAAAAGGATGCTAACAGATGCTTGCTATTACAGTATATTCTCCATTACTAACTTGTGATTTGTATTGCATAACCATTTCCTTTCTAAGCTATTTAATTCAGTACTAAATCTTATCTCAGGTTGATACAATAGTGTAACTTGATATTGTATACTGTTCTCTTTGGAGGTTTAATACAATAGGATATCTCTATTGTGAAGTTTGATACAGTAGCTTGTGACTGTTACTTGTGAATTTAGTTACTTGGATGGCTTTTCAGCAGGTGCTTGGATAACCAAGAAAGTACTGTATTTCCTAACTCTGCAAGAAGTTCCCAGAAAAAAGGAGAGCTGGATCCTAAGAACAAAGGTAACTAAGGCCAGATTCAACCTCTATGTCCCGTTGCCACATGGTGTGGGATTGCCACAAATTTGGCATTTGTCTGGTTTGAACAACCACAGCAGCAGCAGCTGTGTCAAGTGGAACCAGAGTCCTAAAAAACAACAAACCTTCCCTCCACACATCACAAAAGACTGGGAGTCACTGCTGCTCAAGGCATTGTGGAGCAAGGCATGTAAGGGCAAGGCATGGCTTGAAGCAAGGCCAGTCCCACATCCTTTCTACCAGGTCTTGAAGTGAACTCAGTGCTTTCAGAAATCTACCCTGTAACCTCTCTGCATTAGCTCTTCTTTGCCTCCACGTTTCTAGAGGGTATTATAATATTTGGGGGGTGGAAATTTACCACAGGAAAGAAAAAATGCAAGCACCACAGAGATGATCTAAGGGAAGGGCTAGTGGCAGAGTCACACAGATGAACCTCACATGTGAGGGAGTTCAGCCATTTTGGCCCATGGCAGCTGTTGGGAGCAGGAGTAGAACAGTCCACCCTTTCTCTTTACAAAGTCACACTCTTCTTTTCCAATAAATGATCAAAACAAGGTAAGTCCCAAATCCATCAACCATAGCTCAAAGAATAATGAATGCTTTGTTTAAAGGAAAAATGTGCATCATTTTGACCCCAATCCCCCATAGAAGCCTCAGTAAAGATTCTGTGACACTTTGTGGAAAAAAACATTGTATTTGATTTACAATTAACAGGATTTACAAAATAATGTCAAAAGAAACAGATTAGTGGTGGAAGTAGAATGCCTTTGTTGATCAAGGAGTAGTTGGCAAAGCATGTTTGATGCAGAACTCTTCTGTACCTCAGTCCTAAGAACACAAAATAACTTACTCAGCATAGCTGGAATGTATACACAAATGCAGAAGTCTAGCAAAAAAAAATCAAGGCAAAAAACAGTCAATGAATAGCACTCGGATGGGGAAGTGACACTGTGATGAGGGCTTTGCCTTTCAGAAGTTTAGGGAAAGCCGTTCACAAGTTTGAGGATATCTTCCATAAAGGATAAAGTTAATGAGTGAAACTCGCTGCAGGACACCAGAGGGAAGGGAGAGATGGCAGCAGAAATTGTGTTATCTTGCCAAGAATCATCAGAGTCCAGGCACTCAGTTGGACAAAAGAGCAGTAATGAAAAGGAATTAGTACAGATGGCAGTGCTACAATGAAATGCTACTTTACTGCCAAAAAAACAAGTCAAGAATGGAACAAAGTTCTTTGATGTGCAATACAGCAATTTAAGAAGACGTACCTATTTTTTTTCAGTTGTATAGAGCTTACTTATATTGTAAACACATATTATAGTTTTGATAAGTTATTTTAATTTCCACTGCTATGGGTTATGATGTGTATTCAATCAAATGCAGCATTCCAAGGCTTGAAACTGAGTGGTATTCAACTATGTGGGTATATGATTTTTCCAATATCATACTAGTATTGTACATCACAAACACAATAAAAACAAATGGTGGTATTTCTAGGACAGTTCCAAGATTCAAATAAAAATCATCAGAACCATTCCAATACGATATTATACACAATCAAATCATGTTAAACAACACACTCTTGGCAAGCAACTAATTACAGGCATTCTGCTGGTCATGTTTTCACAAAAGTCATTCAATAGCACATAAATATTTTTTCTGATCTGCTTCTCTTTACAAAACCATTCATCAGATTCACAGAATTAGTACAAGTAAGGCACATTAGCATATAACATAAAACTCACAATAAGAACAAAAGGTTGTAAAGTGTTAACGGCTAATTTCCTTTGCAGTGATTTCTGAATCAAATTAGGATTTATCATCAGAACCCTCCTACAGAGGTGACATGACTTTTATGCTCATCACAACCAACTGTGGTGGGTGTAATACCACACGTTACCATGGATATAAATAATTAAATTAATTAAAAACAGTGTGTGGTACACCAAAGCCTGTTCCAAGTTCTTAAAGAAAAATCATAGACATGTCATTTACTATGTTCATTATGAGCATAGATAGAGCGATTTTAGAGTTATAAGGAAATTAATTTCCAGTTATCAAAATAAAAGGGGATATTGCATCTGTTTCTCCAAATATGCTATTTTTTTTCTTCCTAGTACAAATATTGCTTAAAATATAAAGGATGCTATAGAATTGAATTTACTTGCATAATGAATTCTAAAAATGCTGATGCTTCAGATTATACTACTTGATTAAATGAACTAAAATCTTTTGTCCCTTCCCACCTCCCAAAGGACTTCCCCACCCACAGAAGATTCATTTACACACAACACAGATTTTAATTAGAAGCATAATTTACAGTAAAAATTCTTTACATTACACCTCTGCTATCAAAAAAACATGAAATCTTTCATTTAAAGTGGTAATTATACATTAAAAAATAGAACACTATTTCCTTAACAGGAAGAATGAATTTGAACATCTTCAGATCAGATTTCTTTATTGCGGCTTCTGAGTCAAAGGTCTGTCACTTTGTTCTCTAATGCAGCTGCTATTTGCTGTAAACGGAAGGCAAGCTGCATTTTTTGTGCAGCTTGGTCCTCTTCAAGTGCATTTATGATCTAAAAGAAATAAAACCAGAATGTTTAGAACCATCAGGGTGACATATAAGCAGCCACTGTTCTGAAACCAAATACTTGACTATATCTTGGGTTTTAAGAGTCATAGGCATATATACCATATAAAAATAGTCTCTCTCCATTGTGCCTCCTTTGGTTTCTTCTAATGCACCACAATTAAAATTCTATCTCTAGCCATCTATTTATCTAGCTCGTTATACTGTCACTAGGTTGTTATGATTCTCATTCCTGTGTTATCTGAACAACTTCAGAAAGAAAGGTGCTTACAGATTTTTTAAATATTACCCATACACAATGGGCACAGGCAGGAGAAAAGCTTTAAGTGACATTGAATTTTTGATTGTCAATTACTCCTAGAACCAGTACTTTTTTTTTTTTTTTTTTTTTTTTTTTTTTTTTTTTTTTTTTTTTTACTTACGTTGCACCCTTCATCCAGTACTTGAAAACAACTTCATGCATAATAAGAAAGCCCTTCCCCAGGGAACTTAGCATTGATCTCCAGCTATTAACAACAGCTGGTAAATCTGGGTTAGTCAGTGACTTGGTAGAGATCTGAACAACTCCAAAGGTGCTGTGAGTAAAATTGGGAACACAACAGCACTGGCTAGAGTCAGGGGGCTGCAGCCAACTTTATGTGTTCTCTAAGTATGGATGAGAGTCTACCCTAATGTATTACAGTCTATTAGCAATGCTGGCCAGTAGGTGGTCCATGGCATTTTCCCATTGGGCCTGTGAGATGTTAAATATATGAAAAAGCACAATACAAAGTCACTATAATTATAAAAGTTGAGATGGAGAAGGCCAAATAGGTCACTCAGTCCATCTCACCTGCTGTTAGAAGTTCTCCTAAAGCTTGTAAAATCTAGTTTTATATGCAAAGAAAGTAGCATTTGTACCACCCACTTTGGAATCCATTCCACAATTTCTTAGATTTCACCCAAAGGATGTAATGATAGGGTAGATTCTGCTTTATCACATATTGTTTATTCCCATAATTCATTTATTTGCATACTCTCCCATTGGACAAAATACATCTCCTAACCTAAACAATTAAATATTGCCTGATTATGTGCATATCATCTTTTAGCATATTTTAGTGCATAGATCAAGTCTTGAAAAAAGAAAGCCAAGAATCAGTTAATGAATAATGGAAATATTGAGCAGTGCACAGAAAGATTTTCTCTCACAACAATTTATTATAATAGTTTAAATTACGAAAACCGATTGTAATCTGGTGAGTGATTACATATGCCTTTTGTTTTAAGTTAAATAAGTACATTTCACTTTTCTAAGGTATACTTAACACATTTCCTGTCATTAACTCCTATATTGGCCATATGAGATCATTCAGTCAGAAGCATGTTTAAGAGAAAGAGAACTGATTTGTTACATGTGCGATTATTTACACACATGGACAAGTGTAAGGACACAATGGGCATAAAATGTGACCAAGCAGCAACTGTCATAGTTTGTGATTTATTTGCCAGTGAGTCTTTAGAGCAGACAGAGTGGAGCAACTTGCAGTACAACGCTGCATTATTATTGGGAATTATGGTAATCATTTCTAGTCTAGTTATTTATTTTTCCCCGTTTTGGTGATTATATTTATTTGTAAAATTGTGTGGGGAAAAGAGGCTACACAAATAACAGGAACCTAAATTATTCCTTTTCTAAAACTGATATTGTCAATAACTTGTATGTAAACAAGAGTCTTTACCTCTGTTTAGATACTGTATTACAACAAATGCAAGAACTTTAAAAATCCGATTTTCTTGTCACTATTTTTCTTTACTTACTATTGTACTTTCAGTTTAGATAATGAAAAATCAATGAAGTCACAATCCCTTGAGATAACCGTTTCACTTTCAGAGGCTGTAAGGTTTAGGTGTCAAACAGAACAGCAAGTTTGAGTAATATTTGCTTTAATGCCTCTTTTAAAGACAATGTGGAAAAAATATTGAGACTGATTTTAACACCACAAAATATAAAATTAAGGCAAATTTGCCCTGATATTCTCTCTTAAATATAACAACAGTATATCTACTTATAAATGATTGCATCTTGACTAAATAGTTTACGAGCTTCCCTGGTGAAAACACTTTATAAACTCAGGTTTGAGAAAGTATCCACATCACCATTATCAAATGCTGGACAGACTAACAAAGAACTGTTCCTAATATGCAATGCAGTTTTAGTATTAAAGAGGAGGGCAGCTGCAAAATGCTCCAATTTATGCAAATTAAATCTTTTTCACATAAATTAAATCTGCTTCATCTCATGCAAATTGCCACAGCATGGTTTCTCAGGTACGATCCACATGATTTCATAAAAGTAGTCCTCTATGATGTTCTATCCAAAAGGGATTTTCTGGTACAGAACATATAATCATAGTTTTACTGATCTTCAAACTGAAGAAAAATAATAAAATTGCTAAGCAACAAATATGGCCCTAATATTTGACTGCAGCCAACGAGCACAGGCTGCAGTCCGGAAGACGCATGGAATGTGACTCTGCCTTCTTTTCTCCTCCATACTTTTGAAAGTTGTTCTAAATGACAGTGGTTATTGATGGTTGGGTTTTGGCACTGGTCAGACCATCTTTTTCTTGACTACTCTATATATAACCAGTCATAATACAGCCCCTTGCCTTTAACAGCAAGTGTCAGTGAAAACAAAAACTACACTTAGGTGCTAGACAAATAGAAGAGTGAGATCACATGTGCTGGCTCCTTATGGATTCAGCATCTGCTCTTATTGGCTTTGATTAAATTCCAAGAGCTTTCTGGAGACATTTATCACCATGGAAACCTTTGAATGGAAGTTTCCTTCTCCTTTTCTGTTTTCAGATTAGAAGTTTGGAGAGCCATAGCCCATCTACATCCCCTCTACATTTGTATGTTCTTTGTTCCCACCTCCATAAGGCCTGTAGAATCCAAGACAAGTTTCAGACAGAATCAGTCAGCAGGCTTTTGAATCGGTCCATATTCAAGAGCAGTTTTATCAAGTTTTCTCTTGGTCAGCCACTTTGTTTGGAACAACAAAGCATACTGTAATAAGTTATCTTGTAATTTATATGCATAACTGATAATAAAAAAAAAAGCACCCATGCTTCCATCTGCAAAGTCAAAATTATTTTAATGGGCCATTCCTAATGGAAAGTACTAATTTGACATTCAGTGTGGCTTCTACAATTGTGCTTTAATCACACACACACACATACACACACACACACACACACACACACACGTATATACACACGTGTGTGTGCATTAAAGAGCAACTGCAGTTTATTCTTTATATGCAGTTTATCTATGTAGTTTATTCTTTATCCGTCAACTACTATTCTTCATCTTCAGGCCTGACCATGATGTCACTAGCAAAGACAATAATAGTGGTTAATAAACAAAAAGCTCTTTCCCAAGGATTTTTTTTTTAACCAGTGTAATTGCCAGCTGAACATTATAACTGAAAAGTTGGACCTCTTCCTTTACCTGCTCATCTAGGAGTTCTCAGATAAATCAGTTATTTACTTAAACTAATATTATAGTCTTTATAAGTAGTTTTGTAGCCTAATAAACATTAATATTATTAATCTGAGAAACTTACCTCATCATAGTATTTGTTAGTATACTGGTAGAGTTGATGTAGAGCCACAAGTGTATTTAAAGAATCTGTGTGCGCCTGTTAAAGTAAATGACCAACACATAATTAAAACTATCATAAATGAACATGTATGTGAACATCAGGTTCTGTCTAATCTTTTTTCAATACTCAGGTTTTGGGTCTCTAAAGCTTTTGGTAGCTGACAGCATGGGAATGGAAAAGGGAAGAAATGTTGTTTGATGATTTTCAGCACTTACATGTCAAGCTTTTCCTGCTAGTACCTTTCCAGCCAGCAAATAACTCTGCTTAATGCAGGAGGTGGAAAAATATTTTGAGCTAGAGTATTAGTCAAATCACAGATTATTTCTCATCCACATCTGCTGACAATATGGGTATGTGCACTGATGAAACATAGTTAAAATCTGTATATTGTCCAAGTTATTAAACACTGTTTTTTCCAAAATATTAAACATTGGTTCTATCAATGTCAGTTGTGTTTGAAATCCTTTTCTTTAGAGCTTTTCATTTGAAACAATTCACACTAAGCTACAGGAAAGGTGTAATTTATCAAAATTTGGAGTGCATGTGTATTTGAAAAAAAACCCAGCACTCCAGTCATAACGATGGATGGGGAGGCTGCTAAATCAAGCAGAAAAAAATGCTCTATATTACATCTTTTCTAAAAGCATTTTTAACTCTACTCAAAGCATGTCAAAACCACCTAAACAAACAGGTTTTCACAGAAACATACTGGGCCCAATTCCCTCCTGCTATAATACTGGCCCTCATACCAGATACACAGGACAAGAAAATAGAGGGAAGGTAGATGAAGATAGATACCTAGAAAAGAAGATGACGTGTGTGTGTGGGGGTGGGGGGGGGTTGGG